TGGATGGATGGATGGATGGATGGATGGATGGATGGATGGATGGATGGAAGTTCCTTTGGCTTACGTTATTGGGTGGATGGATGGATGGATGGATGGATGGATGGATGGATGGATGGATGGATGGAAGTTCCCTTTGTTTTGGCTTACGTTATTGGATGGATGGATGGATGGATGGACGGACAGACAGACAGACATGCAGTAGTCCAGCCTGAGGGATGACTGTGGACTTTCAGAATTCTGGCAAGCCCTGTACAAACCCCTCATTTTTCCATAGCTACCAAAATCTGGCAGGGATCAGAAGCCCTTAGCTTTGGGTCTAGAAAAGGGACCCAGGATGGATTCTCTAAAGGCAGGAGAAAGTTTTGTGGATGGATCGCCCTGGACTTATGGCCATTCACTTAGCAACTGTTCAACGTGATGACAGCACCGGAAAAAAAATGGACTTGCAACCGATCTACAGACTCGTGGCCATTGCAGAATCCCTAGGGTCATGTGATCAAAATGTAGTCGCTTGGCAACCGGCATGTATTTAGGATGGTTCTGGCATGCCCAGGGTCACATGACCGCTAGTTGTAATCTTCCCTGGGGGTGAAGGGAGGAAAGGGAGCACAAAGAAAGTCAGAGGGGGACGTCAGAGACACAAACAACAACCCCATGCGATTCACTTGGGAACCGCAATTTAAAAAATGGTCATTAAAAATGGGTGTGACTCAATTAAAAACCAGAGCGCTTAGCAATGGACATTCAGATCTCAATTATAGTCATAGGTCCAGGACTCTCTGTGCTGGGCAGGAATCCACACATTGTGCAAACTCAGCCTCTAGGCAGAGACGTAGCTTCACACTCTAGGCTGAGGTCTCTGTTGGAGGAGGTCCAGGCACTCTCTGCCAGCTGCTCTATTTAATCAATCAATCAGAAATAGCACTGGAAGGGACCCTGGGGGTCTTCTAGTCCAACCCCCTGCTCAAGCAGGAGACTATTTGAGACAAGTGTTGCGGCCTGTTAACCACCGGCCCTTCCAGCAGCCGAATCAGAGGAGGAGGAGGAGGAGGTGGTGTGGGAGTCAGGGTTAGCATCAAGGCAACCTGGGAGCTCCGAGGGGGAAGAAGGCATGGAGCTGGCCGAGAGAGAGAGACAGAGGCGGAACCTGGGCCAACCATCAGATGGAAAGTCAACAGCCCCCAGGTCTGGAAGTGGCTGATGGGGAAGAGGAGGAACAGCCGGGTCCAGTGTCTGACTCGCAGCTGCAGAGAAGGCAGAGGAGAGGAGAGCAGGGGAAATCTATGGGCCGGTCCTCAGGACAGAAGAGCCACTGCTGCTAGCAAAGCCCCACCCTGGCTCTGGGGATCAAAGGCAGGGGGCAGAGATGAATGGATGTGGCAGACAACTGTTCATCTCCCGGCCTGATGGACTTGTTAGCCCGCAGTGAGAGAGAAAGTTTTTGCTGGGGCTGTTGGCGCTCCTAATAAAGGAATCTTTGAGTTCACTTCAGGGGGCTTGTCATGTTTGGGCAGCTGGTTCAGAACAATAAGTGACTGTCTAGTCTCTTCTTACGAATCTCTACTGTTGGAGTATCCACAGCTTCTGGAGGCAAGTTGTTCTACTGGTTAATTGTCCTCACTGTTAAGGAAATTTCTCCTTAATTCCAGGTTGCTTCTCTCCTTGATGACTTTCCTTCTGTTGCTTCTTCTTCTCCCTTCAGGTGCTTTGGAAAATAAGTTGACCCCCCTCTTCTTTGTGGTAACCCCTCAAATACTGGAAGACTGCTGTCATGTCACCCCTAGTCTTTCTTTTCTCTGGACTGGCCATGCCCAGTTCCTTATTATTCTGTCTTCAGAATTTTAGTTCTAAAACTGGGAGCTGGGAAGACAGCATATGTGAGCTCCCAAGTCCCTCCAAAAAGCTAGATTAACATCTCAGGAGCAGAGTGACTGGAAGACACCTGTCAAGAATGAAGTTCAATGCGCAAGAAGTCCTTCCAGAAAGTTCTTGGCTTGTTTGCTAATCACTTTCTCCTTCCAATGGTTGTGGGAAAGCACAAGAGAATCGGCTGACCTTGACTAGATCCTAACTGATAAAGAAAGTTGAATTAGGAAGTGAATCATCGGCGGAATGTGCCTGGTCACGCTGGAGGTTTTGATGTTAAAAAGGAACATAAATCTAAATGTAAGTCTCTTGGCTTGGAAACAAGGTGGATTTTCAGAAGCTCAAAGCAAGGATAAGAGAGCCAGTGGGGAGAAGAATGCAGAAGAACAGAGGGACCTTGGAGGTCTTCTAGTCCAACCCATTTCTCACGCAGGAGACCCTAGAGCATGGGTGTCCAATCTTGGAACTTTAAGACTGGTGGACTTCAATT